ACACATACACACCCAACAGCCATATACACATACACATACACATACACATACACATACAAATGCGCATACACATACACATACATAGACATAGACATAGACATAGACATAGATATAGACATAGACATAGACATAGACATAGACATAGACATAGACATAGACATAGACATAAACATAGACATAGACATAGACGCCCAACAGCTATATACACATACACATACACATACAATCCCAACCCACCCCTTCCCCACACACTGGGCAGTTACTTTATACTTGAACTACTTTGTACTACAACGTACCTACTCTGTACTACAATATACCTACTCTGTACTGCCGTGTACCTACCTTGATTTACAATATACCTACTTTGTACTACAACGTATCTACTTTGTACTACAATATACCTACTATGTACTGCCGTGTACCTATTTTGTACTGCCGTGTACCTACTTTGACTTGACCATCTCATAGTACACTCCCATCAATGCCATCAGCACTTGCGGTTCTCGCGAGGGTACCATCTCCAGCGTAGGAATCAGTCGCTCAGTCACAGTCCATTTGTCGATGATGTTCAGCAGTTTGGATATACAAAACAAGCTCTTGGCACGGAGCCGCAGGATATCTGGTTGTGTTTGTGGGGCAAAGCATGGGAGATGAGGTAACTCGGAATCTTATCTTTGGTTTATTGGGAGGGAACGAACAGGGGGTTTTTTTCGTGTGGGAAGGTACAGGTGATGCAATGAACCCGTGGCTAAGACCAAGACGACCTAAGAGTATATTGAATATTATAAAGTTTAAGGTTATATATTCTATATCATACGGAATAAGTGTATACCTACTAGTATATTGAGTGTTATAAAGTTTAAGGATATATATTCTATACCATACGAAATAAGTGTATACCTAAGAGTATAATGAATGTTTTGAAGTTTAAGGTTAAATATTCTATATCATACGAAATAAGTGTATACAATGTCTTTCTGAGCTCATTTGCTGGATTCCCGAACGCATGCAGGTGTATGTTTGCAGACCTACAAACAACCACAGCCCTACCTACAACCACAGCACTACCTACACCCACAGCATTACCTAT